CTTTGTGGAATTAAACTGAATGAAATATCATATTATTATATGTAAGAAAAAAAAAATATAGATATCTATTAAAATATTATATATAAGGAGTCTTATATAATTGGCGATTCAAATTTTCAAAATTATTTTCCCCTAAACAAATTTTATATTTAATATTATTAACTCGAACTTTTTCCCAAATAAAATTATTCCATTTCTTGATCGTTCGTGTATCATAAATTTATACAAATATATATATATATACGAACAATTAATTAAAATAATTCCAAATGAAAATATAAAAATAAAAACGTGTCGTTTAACACTTAACCACGTTCCTCGAATACCTATATATCAATATATATGCACAAAGTAAACGAAACAAGCCATACGATATAATATTTCCTGATATAAGATAAACTGTGAAGTTGTAAAAGATATTAGAAGAAGAAAAAAAAAGAATTACACGAAAAGAGAAAGAGAGAGAGAGAGAAATAGTTGCATAACAAGACACGTAATACAAGGTGTCATATCCGCATAACATTGTGCATTATGTTACAACTACTGCAAACATTTCATTGGCAAGGTTTACCTGGTCAACTTACATAATGATTAATCAGAGAGAGAGAGAGGAAGAACTATGAATAAAGATATAGAGAAACGAGAAAAAAAAGTAAGTAAATAGAAATTAAAAGAAAAAAAATAAATGATATAATTCTAGGTCTACCGGCCAAGGATTTTATTCTCACTTTCTAGTTAAACGATCTTACCCCATTAATAATACAATACACAACATCTGTGAACACGCAAACGCGTAATTAAGCGTAACTTTATTGCATTTAAAAGCTTGTAATTGTTGAACCGTAGAAGATTTCTGATAGCTTGACAGTAGAACCTGTCGTCATTGTCAACAGATATCTTGACAAGTAATGTACCCCCCCCCCTCCCTTTTAATCGTTGATGCAAACACAACCATAATCGATTTCAAGAGACACGAAACAGTTTTACCGTTGACTTGATTTATAATCTCGTTACTTACTAACGTTCTCATGATCATTAGAAAGTATTCGCTTACTAGTTTTATAAGTGGAACAACACACACCACCATTCATTCGGATTGAGTTTAAATTAACAAGAAAGATTTTCTTTTTCTTCGTATTAAAAGAATCATCTAAGAAATTGTTCATATAGTATATATCTTGTAATTTATTAGAATTCATTATTTAAGATAATCAATTTGTTTCTTTCAACATTCGTGTGTGATTCTCTCGTAGTTTAATTTTCTAAAGGTTTCACTTCTACCGCGTGTCAACTGCATGCATATATTTCTTTTTTTTGTCATTTACCTGAAAGTGTCGATCGGTACCAATAATATCGTAAGCATCTTTAGTTCTCAAACATTCAATGAGAGCTTTGGAATCGTCGGTAGGACAATTTACAAGTTTTCCAACACTTTGAGCCTTAATTTTAGCTGTTCCTTGCCTGGTCAAAGTCCAAGGACAATGAGCTGTTCCACTTTGTGATATAGCACGATGGAAAAGACCTATAATGTAACAAATGTATCGCGTTATTATATAATTATTTCTTTTATACTTTTATATATATAATATTACGTTATTTTTTTATTAATAAAAATAAACCAATTCTATCTCTATGCAATTTAAAAATAAATGCAAATTTCCATTGCAACGCGCGTGAGTCCCCTTTATTTTTTATAATTATCCGCCACACAAAAAAAAAAGGGTTAAATAAATATTTTCCATTTTTTATCTAATTATTAGTCCTTAGAAAAAATCCAATTATTTTCAACGTTATCCGGAGACAATGTATTAACAAAGCGTTCGATTATTACGTGTTTATTTAAGATAATAGATAAACAATGTGAGAGAGGGGGAGAAAGGGAGAAAGAGAAGCAAAGAGAAAACAAATTAGACGATCACTCCTACCTCATTTTGATGAATCATCGTTAATTACGTGACGTCGTTTGGTTGTTTTTTTTATTTCCTCGTTCTACTACTTTTATCTTTTTTTTTTTTTTTTTAAATCAATAATTTACGATTCATTTTTGACAAAACGCGAGTTAGAATTAAATACAATATTTTCTTTAGTTTTTCTTTTCTTTTTTGATCTTACCTTTCGAGAGATTGCTCATCATGTGATAATGAACGCTAGCACCACCAGCACTCTCACCAAAAATTGTCACCCTGTTAGGATCGCCACCAAATTCAGCAATGTTTTCGTTAATCCATCGAAGTACTTGAACCTGATCCTTCAAACCAAGATTTCCCGGACATACCAAATCTTCCGTACTCAAAAATCCTAATGGACCAAGCCTAAATGAATAAACATATCCAACATTTTAATCTCGAAATATCAGGATTTTTTTTTAAAGTCATATCGTTCTTATTTTTAAATCAAACTTTTCTCTACTCGGCGTTGTACAAAATTATCTTCCACATTAGTACGCGATTTATTTTTAAGAAAAATTAAATGTGTAAAACAATGAATAACTCGGAAACGATAATAATTAACGATAGTATAATATTCCAATAAAAATTGTATGCTTGTTGTTGTTGTTTTTTTTTTTATCTTTTACCTAAAATTCATCGTAACGAGGACAACGTCGTGATCCAAAAAGAATTTCGGTCCGTAAAATTCGGAATGACCAGCACCGGTGACCCAGCCACCACCATGAAACCAAACCATAACAGGAAAACTATTTAGTGGATTTTTGTCTTCCTTCGTTTTAGGTAATTTCGGTGTATAAACGTTCAGGTAAAGACAATCCTCCGTTCCGACGATTTCTTCTTGATCAGTGTAAATGTTTCTTTGAGTGCATATCTCTGCATCTTTTTTTGCATCTCGCGTTCCCTTCCACGCGGTCATTGGTTGCGGTAGCTACAAAAAACAAGTGAAGAAAATTAAAGAAAAAAAAAAAAACAAATCGATTACAAAAATATGCATCAACATTTTTCAAAGTCGCTATTACTATAAAGTTACTATTTACGCAAATAAAATGTAAATTAAATGCATCTATAAATTGACGCGTTTATGATCATGATTACTATTATTATTGTTATTATTATTATTACGTTGTTGGTTGTTTCGTATTTTTATCGAAAAATTTATCATAATACAAACGCACTTTCTTTTCTAAATAAAACACACACGCACATGATATGACTACGTACGTTTAAATCACTAATACGAGAAAATAAGCTTATTACTAATCGATTTGAAATAAGTATCGATAATAACCGTGTGGATTATGTTAAAAAAGTATGAAATATTTTCTCTTTTTTTTTTTTTCTGACACGTAGATACTTATAGTAGTAAGTATTAAATTTTTAATTAGCTTGTTTCTCAAAGTATATATAAATATGTAAATCTTTGAACGGGTTTTTATTAGAAAAAAAAAAGTGAACGTTAACATTGATTGAAACTTTTGAATAGTCATGAATTCCGTGAAGGGTTGCGTCAGGGGTGGTTGCGTCAGGGGTGGTTGCGTTAGAAAATTACATCAGTGTTTTATTTTTTATTCATATGCAAACTAAATATCAGTATATAGATTATATTTTTAATAATAATTATTATTTTTCTCTTATCTCATTATTATTATTTTCAAATAATTAATCGAAATTTTTTCTTTAATCGACTCGAAAAATTATTTCAATCATTATTATATATAAAAAAAAAAAAACAACAAGAAAAGAAAGAAAAAAATATCCTAATCACCTTTCGAAAGGCCAACAGACGCTTATTATTACTTTGGAATCTCGTTTTTCTTCATTTTCGTTTCCCGTTTTCTTAATCACATCATTTCATTCGATTATTTTTCATTTCTCGAATCTGTCAACATCAAAGATATCTTTCATTTACCGATTATATTCATAAAAAAATCGAGATTAATGTATCCGAAGATTACTTTTATATAACGAAATAGTTATTAATATTCTGAGATACTTTTACTTATTGCATAAATTCATGTTGTTCCTTTTTGCATTCTCAATATCAAACGGGGAACTAATCTAAATGAAATGCATACAAAAATTTTAAATTCTCCTTCACATGTCGGAATTATTTTTTTTATCTTTCTTTTTTTTTTTTTTTTTTTTATATTATATTTCAGACCGATAACAAGTAGACACGTTTATTTAATTTCTTACGGTTGCAAATATTCGATTGTAAAAAATAAACGGAAATTAGGATTTATCTTGTTCTTCCTTTTATTATTTTTGCCTGTTATCATAATTTTAAAATATGTTCTTAGTCAAAGATACGCGATTTATTTATATATTTGAATTATTTAACACTATTACCAATTCTTATATTTTAATAAATGCAACATAACGCGATTTACAGACGTAATACCTAAACGTAATATTTACACTGACGTAATATTCTTATTACACGCTTGCGTTTGTATATTACACAAGCGTACGTGTGAAGAAAATTCCTTATAGATTTTTCTTTAATGACAATTAAAAATAAAATTGTTCGAAAATAAACAAAGAAATATTTGATTGTAATTAATTCGCAAATACACCGTTCGCAATATCGAAAAAGAAAATTAATTGCCGTGCTTTTTTTTGACTCGACATTTGTAAAAGATGAAACATAATCGAATAAAATGAACTCACCTCGAATCTAAGTTTACCGATTGGCGGCAAGGCATAAGGAATACCAAGAAATCCATCGAATTTACGTCCGTGTCTCGTTTTCATGATCAATCCATTTAACGTGCCATTTTTAATTCTAACTTTGGGTTCCTCGTCTTGTTGATTTTGACAAGATGTAGAATGCACGAAGGAAAGTAAAGAAGAAAGGCAAAGTAAAATTGCCAATGTCCAGAAACAAAATTGGTACTTCGGCAACATCTTTACGCAGGTGAAAGCTGTCCAATGACCTACTTGATTAAATTTCTTCTTATTTCTTTTGTTTTATTGCAAACTTGAACGATAACTTCGAATCTCTTACAACACTAGTAAATGAAAGTTTCGATTTTTTGTTTTTATTTTAATTTTTTCTCTTCTCCTTCTTCTTCTTCTTGTTCTTTTTTCTCCCCCACGTTTTTAACCTAATAGACAAATAAACGAAAATAAATGTAACAATATTTCTAAATAATATAATATAAAAATTGTTTAATAGATTTAACGAACATACATTCATTGTATCTGTAAATGAGTGTTTTATATTCATCGAGAAATGGTAAAAAAAAAGAAAAAAAAAAGGAAAAATTCAAGGTTAATTAAAAGAACTCGAATTTGTAGGCATGGGATTCGAGTTGTTCGATTTGAATATTTCAAACAATTCGATACTCAAAAAACTTTGAATTCGAATCTTCGTAAGCTATAGCTTATCCTCTAAACACGTTTACTATTGTGCTCACAGTTATCATTTTGAATATATACTAATCATGGTATAAATACTTTTATTATAATTATCTTTCTTTTTTTTATTTATTATTGTAATTCGAATAAATATATGTACGTTTCTCGTATGTTCTGTTGTTGTTGTGTTGCGTGTATATATGTGTGTTTGATATTAAACTTATCAGGAAATCAGTTAAATTCAATTTTAATTATAAAAATAATTTGTTTAATCATTTTAACCAGTTATCAAAATGAATAACCATAATTACGTTTGAATAACGAAAAATCAAGCTTTTATTAAAAATCATGATTTAAAATAAAAAAAAATACAATTAATATGAAACAAAAAGTTTGTATTTAAATCTATCAAAGAACAACACCCCATGTTTATATCGATAAATTAAATATTAAATATATTTCCCACGATTATACTCGAACGATAAACCATGAACACTCAATATTATTAAATTCGATTATATTTCAAATAAAATTAATATATGAAAAACGAAACGTATATATATATATATATTTAAACTTACCGAAAAACACGGTATTCACAATCATCAAAAAATCCTTACGAATTTGTATAGAGAAGTATGTGTTGGAAGAGGGATTAAATATTGTCGGTGTTCGATCCTTGATGGTTTAAAACCGACTAACCAAGATCGGTAAAAGTTGTGATGGTTCCGCTAATCGATGTTTGATCGTAAATGCACACACACTCGAAGTTTCCTGACGTATTGCTCGGTTCGATTATTGCATCTGTCTTTTCCTCCTCCTCTTCCTCTTCCTCCTTTTCCACCACCTCCTCCTCCTCCTCCTCCTCCACCTCCTCACCTTCTCCCCGTTCATCATGCCCACTACCTTTCGCAACATTTCCCTCCTCGTCTCACTTTTCAACGTCACCGAGATCTTTCATCCTTGTTTTTTTTTTCCTCTTGATATTTTCGTTTTGTTATTTTTTTTCTTTTT